CCCAGCTAATTTTTTGATTTATTGTAGAGATGAGGTCTCACCAAGTTGCCCAGGCAGGTCTCGAACCCACGGGCTCAGGCAATCCACTCACCTTGGCCCTCCAAAGCGCTGGAATTACAGGCTGAGCCACCAAGCCTAGCCCAGTCAGAATACTCTTAACTTTCTCATGTTGTCAAGTGTGTCACAAATTCAAATTTCCTACCTTACGCTGCATTTTTGGTGCAAAATGGAACTTTTATTTCCCATAAGTTAAGAAAGAGGAACACACTGTCCTTGACAAGCAAACAATTGTGTCTGAGGTTGATAACTTTCTGGGGATTCCAGGGATTCTTTATTTATCTCAGATCTAATAGTTGAGTAAGTTATAGTCTGATCCCACAATGGAATGCCATGCAACTTTAAAAAGTAATGAGCATCGCTTCTCTATATTGCTATAGTGAGATTCCAGAATATATCATGCTAAAAAGAAACAAGTGTACTTTAACAGTATAATGCCATTAAAAAATGTTTGCATGTGTGGGATGTTTGTGTGGAGAGGCAAGGAGGGGAAGGGGATAAATATATTTACACATTTGTTAATACTTTTAAAAAAAATAGAAAGCAAAGCAAAAACAAGTTACTGATTGAGAAAAGAAATAGGGGGACAAGGGAAGAAGCTAGACTTCACTGAATGTACCTTGTTTTATAGATGTGACTTTGGAGCCACAAAAAGATTCTACATAATTATTAAACCAAATTAAATCAAAATGAAAAAAAAAAGGCCCTAAATGTAAAAAGTGAAATAAAACAAATAAGCCCATTATTATCAAGGTGGTAAATTAACAACACAGATAATTATTTCAAGTGACTTTAAAAAATATTCGTTCTATACTTTGTACCTTAAAGACAAAAGAACTACAAAAAAATTTAACTTTTCAGTTGTCATATTGGCACAATATAATAGCACTGAGCAAGCTTCATGTTTAAAATGGTCTCTAACTTTTTGCACTCAGCGACATCTCCCAGATCACTCACCAGCAACTCAACTGCACTTTTTTACAAAATGATGAAAAACAAAGCACTTCATATTAAGTAGTATGGCGCTGAAACCAATTATTTTACTTTAATGATATTTGGCTTATAATCGAATTTTGGAATTTAGGAACTTATTTATGACAAAAAAAATTTTTTTTAATTTATTTTTATTTTTTATTTTTTGAATTGGAGTCTCACTCTGTCGCCCAGACTGGAGTGCAGTGGCCGCTCCTAGCCACCGCAGCCTCGGCCTGCTGGGCTCTGGCGATCCTTCTGCCTCAGCCTTCCGAGTAGCTGGAACTACAGGTGCGCACTACCACACCCGGCTAATTTTTTGATTTATATCTTATAATTTTCTAATGCGTGGTCACGTATAAAACAGTCACCAACATGCATTGCTGGTTCATTGACACATGTTGTGCAATAGTAATTTGTTTGACGTCTTCCACTGGTGTTTTTCTGTTTGAGCTGACGATGAGGTCTTGTTATCTTCCTCCCACATTAATATTATGTAATTTACTGTCTATTCTGTTTGAAGATGATGTGGAAGGCTGCACTCATGATTCCTGAAAACTACTTCTCAACTAATCAATCAGAAGCTTGACAAGTTTAAAATGGGTCACCGGTTTTTCACTGTTTTTGAATGGAAAACTTTAAGGAAATGTCCATTTTTGAAAAATTTGCATTGGCATAGTTTGTCGCGTATAGTCACCAGCTATCTCTTTATGTCCCCTGAGAGGGGACATCCAAGTGGTTTGCTAGATTTACACTGTCCCTTCAGAGGGACTATCCGAGTGCAAAGGGCTAACTAAATATTATTTTCCACTGAAAGAGACCTGAGCTCCTTGGAGAAGCATAGCCAATTATAGGTCTGGAGAAGGAAAGATATAAGCAGAAACATTTTAGTTTCTTGGAGTTTGTGACTACATAAACACTGCTAGGGTCAGGCCGAAAAGACTTATAGGCCACTTCCAAGAATAACATTATTTAGGGTTTATTATTTATCACAGAAGTATTAGTTTACTTATGAGATATATATACTGAATATTATTTCTAGAAAGTGTCAGTTGACTGAATAAATTATCATACCTAAAAATGTTATAAATGTTCTATTTTATGCTATCTTTTTTCCTACAGATCACCTTCAACAAATATATATTAAGAATCTAGAAGTTGGAGGTAAAATGGTGAATATGAACGGTATTGTCCCTGTCCTCATGAAGCTTTCAGTCTAGTGGAAAACACAGGCAAATCAAAATAGTGACAGAGTATCATGGTGGAAGGTAACATGAGGTGATAAGGGAACACAAAACCAGGGCAACTAACCTAGAACTGTTGGATCAGAAAGCCTTTTGGAGAAATGACACCTAAGCTGAGACACAAAGACATTAGGAGTTTTTGTATATTTGCTTGTTTTTGGGGATGCAGAGTGAGAGAAGGCAGCAAGAGGAGACTAGAAAAAGGGAACAAATGCAAAACAGCTAGAGCATGATACACTGAGGAACAAATAGTAATTTTGTATGGCTGGTGGGGAACAAGGGTGGGAAGGGTAAAAGACAAGGCTGAAGAAATAAGCAGAGGCAAGGTCATAAAAAATCTCCACAGGGTCAAGCACAATAGCTCACACCTGTAATCCCAGCACTTTGGGAGGCCGAGGCGGGAGAATGGCTTGAACCCAGGAGTTTGAGACCAGCTCGAGCAACTTTGTCTCTACCCCCCCCCCCCCCCCGCAAAAAAAAAGCCAGAATCTCTACAGATCATGATAGGGAGTTTCAACTTTATCCTGAGGGAGCAAATAAAGAATTTTCAGCAGAAAAATTCCATAATTAAGTCTGTCTGTAGCATCCCAAATGGATGGGATATGGGAAACGATAATATAGGCAAGGAGACCAGTTAAAAGACTGCTGTAGGAATTCAGGTGCTATTCCTACACCTCTGTTGGAGACAGAGACATGTGTATTTGCTATTTGAGAAAAATTTAGAAAGTAGAATTGATTATCTTTATTGGTCACAGTGAGAATGCAGGGTCTGCAGATAAGAAATTAAAGACAATGGCTAGGTGTCTGCCTTAAGACACTACGTAAACATAGAGGGTGGCAATAAGATAAGAAACATGGGGGAAATACGTGTGCTTGAGAAAAGAAAGGAGGAGGAGATGAGTAGTTCTGACCACATTAAATACTGGGCAAATGCAAAATCTCTTAGAAGAGATGTCAAGTAGGCAGCTGGTTCCTTTCTTCATTTTCCACATTCAATCCATTACCAAATCCTGTCACACCCACCTTCAAAATATAGCACAACTCTGTCTACCTCTCTTCATCTCTACTGTAATCAACCTAATGCAAAGCATCATTATCTCCCCTCTATGGTCTCCATACTGTAGTTGGAGAGATCTTTTAAAAATATAATTAAGCCAGGCACCATGGCTCACACCTGTAATCCTAACACTTTGGTAGGCCGAGGCAGGAGGACTGCTTTAGCCCAAAAGTTCAAGACCAGCCTACGCTATATAGTAAGACCTCATCCCTACAAAAGAAAAAAAAAAAGCTGAATGTGTTGGTACATGTTTCTGGTCCCAGCTACTCGGGAGGCTGAGGAGGGAAGATTGAGTACAGGAGTTTGAGGTTGCAATAAGCTGTGATTTTACCACTGCACTCCAACCTGGACAACAGAGTGAGACCCTGATTTAAAAAAAAAAAAAACCACTTCTTCGGTGCTGCCTACCGAGGTGGCAGCCATCTCCTACCCGGCATCATGGCTGCCCTCAGATCCCTGGTGAAACCCAAGAGGACCAAGAAGTTCATCCGGCACCAGTCAGACCAATATGTCAAGATTAAGCATAACTGGTGGAAGCCCAGAGATATCGACAACAGGGTGTGTAGAAGATTCAAGGGCCAGATCTTGATGCCCAACACGGGTTACGGGAGCAACAAGAAAACAAAGCACATGCTGCCTAGTGGCTTCCAGAAGTCCCTGGTCCACAATGTCAAGGAGCTGGAAGTGCTGCTGATGTGCAACAAATCTTATTGTGCTGAGATTGCTCACAATGTTTCCTCCAAGCACTGCAAAGCCATTATAGAAAGAACAGCCCAGCTGGCCATCAGAGCCACCAATCCTAATGCCAGGCTGCACAGTGAAGAAAATGAATAGCCATCTCGTGCACATTTTGTGTTTAAATAAAACCATAAAAACTGGAGGGAAAAAAAAAAATCCTATCTATCTACCTACCTTCCTTCCTATCTATCTCAGATCCCTATTTAAACACTTTAAGGGCTTCCTACTGAATCTTATTTTTTTCATTTTAAAACTGTATTGATTAGCCGGGCTTGGTGGCTCAGCCTGTAATCCCGTGCTTTGGGAGGCTGAGGTGAATGGATTGCCTGAGTCCGCAGGTTCGAGACCCATCTGGGCAACTTGGCGAGACCTCATCTCTACAATAAATCAAAAAATTAGCCGGGCATTGTAGTGCACACCTGTAGTTCCAGCTACTTGGAAGGCTGAGGAGGAAGGATCGCTGGAGCCCAGCAGGTCGAGGCTGCAGTGGCCGGGAGTGGCCACTGCACTCCAGTCTGGGTGACAGAGTGAGAGTCCAACTCAAAAAAAAAAAAAAAATTGTATTGATTGACTGATTCAGTCAGGGAGTCATTCTGTCATCCAGGCTGGAGTGCAGTGACACAATCACATTTCACTGCAGCCTTGACCTCCGGGGCTCAGGCAATCCTTCTGCCTTAGCCTCCTGAATAACTGGGACTACAGGCATGCACCACATAGCCAGCTAATTTTTTTATTTTTGTAGAGATGAGGTCTTGCTATTTTGCCTAGGCTGGTCTCAAACTCTTGGGCTCAAGCAGTCCTCCTGCCTCAGCTTCCCAAAGTACTGGGATTATAGGTGTAAACCACAGAATGCAGCCTTCCTATTTAATTGCAGAATAAAACCAAACTCCTGACCTCAGCCCAAAAAATCCCTACATGAAACACAGCCTTCTTCAATCATTCCCCCCTCCCTTTTTTTTTTGAGTTGGAGTCTCACTCTGCCGCCTAGGCTGGAGTGCAATGGCACACTTATAGACACTGCAGCCTCAACCTGCTGGGCTCAGGCGATCCCTCCACCTCAGCCTTCCAAGTAGTTGGATCTACAGGTGCAAGCCACCATGCCCAGCTAGTTTTTTTATTTATTGTAGAGACGAGGTCTCACCAAGTTGCCCAGGCTGGTCTCAAACCCTGGGCTCAGGCAATTCTCTTGCCTCAGTCTCCCAAAGTGCTGGGATTATGGGCTTGAGCCACTGCGCCCGCCCATTTCTACTTTTTTTTTTTTTTTTTGATTTGGAGTCTCACTCTATCACCCAGACTGGAGTGCAGTGGCGCAGCCTTGACCTGCTGGGCTCCGGCGATCCTTCCGCCTCAGCCTTCCAAGTAGCCGG